TGGGGTAAATGCAGCTGCTCCTTGCAGCAGGGAGCCTGCTCCATGGGCACCCGCCACCCACAGTGTGCGGAGTCCTGGCTGAGGGGGTGGCGGCAGGGGCCAGGTCTCTGCCTTCGGGAGCTGGTGCCTGCACAGCTAGGTGGCTGCCTGCGGGTCCCTGGTCTGGTGCCTGGCACATAGTAGGTGCTCATGCACATCTGCTGAAGGAAAATGAAGAGGGGAGAATGGATGGCCGACCGCTGCCGGAGCAGGCTTTGTTCACGGGAACTGGCCGAGCTGGCCGAGCTGGACTCCTGTGTTTCATGTTAAAGGAGAGAGGACTTCAGGTCCTGCTGAGCCCAGGGAAGGACGCAGAGGGAGCATGTCAGCTGTAAAGAACAGCTCCCCGCCCCTCTACCTGTAGGATTGGTCCTTCTCCTTCCTTCTCCTTCCGTCCACTCCTGTCCAGTACCTGGTTCTCCACGGAGCCAGTTGGCCTCCCCCAGCCCAGTCTGACCCAAGTGCCCCTGAGCCAGAAGGTGGACGGAGCCCAGGTCGGGCCAGGGGCTGGCTCGGGATCACAGAGCAGGTGGGTGACGGTCCTCAGGTCCAGAGCCTGGGGGCTGAGGCCGAGTCCCCTGGGGGTCCTGCAGGGTCTGGGGGACAGCAGTGCTGGCCCGGGTCACTCACAGTTTTGTCCTTGCAGCCTCGGCCGGACACGTGCAGACTACTGGGTCATCAGTACCGAGGGGAGAGGGCCCAGGTCAGCGGCGGCAGAGCCAGGCCGGGATCTGGGCTCCTCCCTTGGGTGCTGGCCTCCCTGGAGAGGTGGATGCAGGGGCTCCCGTTCCTCTGCCCGGCGCCCGCCCTCCCCGCGCCCGGCTGGCCCACGCCGCTCCTTCCCGCCCTCCGCCTCCTGGCCCTGACTCTGCTGGCTCACCCCTACCAAGGGACAGGGGTGTGCATCCCCTGCTGGGGGCAGCTGCGGGGGTGTGGAGGAAGGGCAGGGGGAGCAGAGGTGCAGAGGCCTGAGGCCAGGCTCTGGGGACAGGGATGAGGACAGGGATCGAGGAATCCCTCCGTCCCCATCGAGGTCGCCCCTTGCTGGGCCTGGCGCTGGGCAGAGCAGCTTCACGGAGTTCAAGGTCTCTGAGGCAGGTGACTCCGTCCCCAGGGGGCTAAGGGCCCAGCCAGCCTGGGGGCCAGACTGCTGTGGGTGGGTCACTGGTGGGATGGCTGGCGGGATGTGGGCCCGAGCCTCCCCTTCAGGCCGCCTGCCCTCACGCCTCCAGGCCCCACTTCCCTTTCCTGAGGCCGCCCTGGCCCCAGGCCCCGGGGCCTACTGAGCGAGGCCAGAGGAAGCAGCGGGCTCCTGCGGGCGCGCTGGGGTGAGGAAGTGAGGGAGTCTGCATCTGGGACAGCCGGGGGTGGACAGGAGCACAGCACCCCCGCGGTGGGCTGGGGGAGCTGCCAGATCAGCCAGGTCCTCTGCAGCAGGGGCTCGTGACACCTGGGGACCCAGCCTAGGGTGCCCCAGCCTCCTGTTCCCCGTCCTTCTCCCAGCTGGGAAAACTGGCCGTCAGTCGGCATGTGACGGAGACCGGGTCCCCCCTGCAGGTGAGGGAGGAGCGAGGGGTACTCGGGGCTTCCTGGAGGAGGGGGCCTTCCGGGATCTCACTGCCCACCTCGCTCCTGCAGGGCAGAAGGGATGGTCTGTGTCTGCTTAGCTCCCCCAACGCCCCTTGGCCACAGTTCTCTCCTGGGCCTCTTGGGGCCAGGGCAAGGAAGGATCTGGCCTCTTCAGATGTTRGGGCTTTGTGGCTATCAGCCCCAGAGGGGGACCGGCAGGACAAGGGGTGGACCTTGGGTGGCCGGTGTGCAAGTCCTACCCCTTTTACCGTCTGTGTGAACATGGGCAGCAACTGAACCTACCTCGGTTCCTGTCTGTGAAATGGGAGCAGGCGTCATGCCTGCGGGGCCGTGTGCAGGTTGAGGGTGGAAAGAGGCGTCAGTGTCTAACAGGAAGACGCTGCTCAGGACCTGGGCTGCAGGGGGCTGAGGGCCACCAAGGTCGCCTGGCAATGTCCCTTTAGGCCTAAGGCTCCCTCTGGGCTCCCTAAGTTCTCCCCCCCGGGAAAGCCTCTCTGGAGGCCCCTGGCGAGGACCAGAGAGCGCCTGCCTGCCCCAGCCTCCCGCAGCCCCGGGTCTCCTGCTGGTCTGCTGCCTCAGGTCTTCTGTAGCCTGGCTGAGCCTGGACTGAGGAGCCTGGGGCATGGTGACAAGGCCTGAGCTGGGGCTGCGGAGCCTGGGGCATGGTGACAAGGCCTGAGCTGGGGCTGTGGTGGCCCGGGGCATGGTGACAAGGCCTGAGCTGGGGCTGTGGAGCCTGGGGCATGGTGGCAAGGCCTGAGCTGGGGCTGTGGTGGCCCAGCTCCCTTGCAGAGCAGGACTAAGCCGAGTGGGCTGCATCTGCAGGTCACTCTCACTGTGTGCTAAGTGGGTCCCTTGGTTCTGGACACACGGAAGGGCCACAGTGCTTCTGGGACCGAGTAGACCGGGTCAGGGAGCCAGATGTGAGGCCTGGGGCTTAGTTGCAGTGACAGAAACACTGGCTCAAGCTGAAAGGGATCCAGTGTTTGAGGGGCCCTCGGGGGCTTGAGTTTCAGGCCCTGGGGGGTCAGGCCGCTGGATCCCCAGTTCTCCGTTTGGTGTCATTTCCAAGGGGACTTTCTCCTTGTAGGGGCTTGGAGACCTGCTAGCAGCTTCCTCCCTGGGGTAGCAAATGTCCCCAAGAGGATTCTCACTGGAATGTCCTCGGTGACTGGGGCTGGGGTGGGCCTGTGCCGATGAGCCACACCTCATCAGGTGATGCTGGAAGCAGGGGTCCAGGGGCTGCCCGGCCGGAGCAAGAATCGCCATCACGCCGTCCCCTCCTCCATCAGGTGGGGCCACTCTGCCAATAGGTGGTCAGGAGGTATGGTGGCAGTAGGGGTCTCTGGGACCATAGTGCCTCCAAGTGAAGGGGCCCCAGCTCAGCAGGTGGCTTTGGAGTTTGGACAGGACCGTGGGGTAGGGGTGGGGAGCAGCAGGGAGTCAGGGCTTGGCTCCGCCTCAGGTTGGGCCAGAAGAAGTGCCCGGAGCGGGGAGCTGCCCGTCAGGAGTGCGCAGGCCCAGGCTGCGGGGCGCTGGTGGCAGATGGGACAAGGGGCCTCCCCGTTGCCGGTAAGTGGGCGGCTGGTAGGAGAGCTGCCGAGGCACAGGGGCTGGAGACCCTCCCTGGCGGGGCCGAGAGGAGGTGGCTGTGGAGACGCCCTGGGGTGGCCCCCTGCCGTGCTCCTCCCAGCCCCCAGCGCACTGCCCGGCTGGTKGGGGAGCTGGATGAGGTCCCTGGATGGGCTGATCCTGTGCCCAGGGCTGCCCATTGTCCACCTCCTTTCCCACCCACCGTTGCCCAGGAAGTGGCCTCGTTAGAGCCCCAGAGGAGGGCTGGCCGGCCTGGCTTCCCACGGCCCGGGGACCCTGCCTGCAGCAGCTCCTGTCTCTGTGCCCGGCTCCGTGGGCCTGGAAGGGCAGGTCAGCGTCTGGACACGAGGTGACCCAGGGTGAGGGGATGAGCGTGTGGGCGGGGATGTGCGTGTGTGCACCCTCACGCCTGTGTGCACGCACCCTCGGCCGCGGCTCTGTCTGGGAACTGTCTGGAGGATGGGGCAGCCGTCGAGGGCCCCAGCCCCCTGGCGACCCCAGTACGGTGGTCAGTGCTGCTGTTCATGTTTTGTGGCATCTGGTCTGGTCCCCTGGGATGTTTGTGGGGAAGCTTGGGCCRAGGATCTGTGATGGGGAGCTGGTGGACCTGGGTCTGACTCACAGCCCCTCCCCCAACCAGCGCCCACTGTGTGATCCTGAACCAGCCACCGTGCCTCTCTGGGCTCAGCTCGGCTGGCCTCCGCAGGTTACAAAGATGCGCGTGTGGGCAGAGGCCTGGTGTGACAGGGCTGCTGCCGTGGTTACTGCCAAGAGCTGTTTGGATTCGGAGGGGCCGCATCTCGTTCTGCGAGCCCCAGAGCATGAATGGCCGGGTGTCTGGTGAAAGCTCAGGAGACGCCTCCCGTGGACTAAAGACTGATTACRTTTAGAGGTGCATGTGGGGGTTGACGTTCTCCCTTTGGACCCTGGGAGTCCTGCAGAGAGTCAACCAGCCACGTACGGCCCATCGAGACAGAGGTGCCATTAAAGCCCTTTGGGAATGAATGGATGCTCTGATGAGCGGACGGTGCTGGTTCTACTCTGCTTCCTTTGACTGGGGCTTGCAAACCATTTAAATTTATCAGTGGGTCGTTTTAAGAAAAGCAGACTCCAGACTTCCTGCGAAAGCTAATGTCTCTCAGATGCAGGGGGATTCCCTGGTTGAAGCAAGCGTGGGGCTCTGAGCCTGGGCCCTCAGCCTCCCAGTCCCCTCTGGGCCCTAGGCAGTCCCCAAATCCCAGGGCGGCCAGGATCACAGTTGGAACCCCCTGGACCTAGAGACCCTAGACTCACTAAAAGGCCCCAGGATCCCAGGGAGTGTGGGGCTTGCACAAGGACCCAGGGGACAGCACAGAGCCTGGACACAGCCCCCGGCCTGTGCTCCTGATTTATGTCAGAGTTAGCTCTGCCGAAATTCAGTGACCAAGATTTGCACCTGACCCCATGTGCAGAATTCATCGAGGTGGGTCACAGTCCGACATGGGGACAGTAGCAGACCTCAGGAGCAGCAGCATGCTGGCTGCCTGCCCGGTCCCCTCCGTGGTAGGAGGGCTGTGTCCATGCCACCCGCTGCAGTGGCTGCCAGCCGCGTGTGGCTTGGCTGTGGGACCTTTGAAAAGTGGCTTATGCAACTGCAATATTTAGTTTTATTTTTAATTACTTTAAATTCACTTTCAAATAGCCACACGAGGCCAGCGGCTACTGCACGGGACAGTGCTGTCCTAGAAAGGCCCTGATCCCAGCCCGCATCAAACCCCGGGTCTGCTTTGTCTCTGCAGAGCTGAGGACGCGGGGTGTGCCTTCAGCCCGTCCTGGACACCAGGGAGGAGGCTGGAGCATCTCACGCCTGTGTCACCCATGGAGCTGCAGGCTCAGGGGACCTCTGGCCAGCCCGGATTGCCAGCTGGGGAGAGGCCCTGGGCCTAGACCTGTGAGGAGGCCGCGGCAGATGCCCCCAGGCTGCGGGGGCTCCCGAGTGGGCGGCAGGACCACGGCTCCAGAGGAGGACGATGCCGGCCAAGGGGCGCTACTTCCTCAACGAGGGTGAGGAGGGCCCCGACCAGGCCGCGCTCTACGAGAAGTACCGCCTCACCAGCCAGCACGGGCCGCTGCTGCTCATGCTGCTTGCCGTGGCCGGGGCCGCCTGCGTGGCGCTGGTGGCCATCACTTTCAGCCACGGGGTGAGTCCGGGGGTGGTCCGGTCTCTGGGCTTCAGATCTGAGCTGGGACGCGGCTCGTGAGGCCTGGGGCTGGTCGTCATCTTCTCGAAGCCTCGGTCCTGCTCTGTGAAGTGCTGACCATGGCGGTCAGGCTGCTGGGAGACGGGCTGAGCTGGATCGCATCTGGAAGTCTGAGCTGGTTTTAGATCCCACATTAACGGGGCCAAAAGACGACCCTCGCTTTTCTCCACCATGAACCTGGGTTCTGCTGGGGACCTGGTCAGGGACGGCCACTGACCCACGTGCCCAGGCACAGCAGGCGGCTCCCGTCATCCCYGGCCGGGCTCTGGTCTCACTGTTCTCTGCCTCCTCCTTTTTGTTCTTTGGTACTCGGGGCGGACCCCAGGAGCAGTCTATCTCTGGGCTGCCTCCCCAGCCCTTCTGATTTTCACTCTGAGATAGAGTCTTGCTGCATTGTCCAGGCTGGCCTTGAACTGGTCTGAGTCGCTGGGAACCAACCCAGAGTGCGCCTGGCTCAGGATCCTCCGCAGCGCAGCTCCCCGGGCGGCTCCCTGGGCAGACGGCACCGACGTCCTCTCTGAGCCGGGTGCTGGCCTTGCTGCAGCCATGAGCTGTGTGCCGCCGGGGAGCCCCTGCAACGTGGCTCGGGTGACTCAGGAGCTGCAGCTTTCGTTTTCTTTTTAATGAATAGAGATTTAATTAGAAAGTTCTAGAAGAAAGCATCAGAGACTACAGGGTGTCGATCTGTGCAAGGTGGCTGGAACCCTTCAGGCCTTCTCAGCCTGGCCCTCTGTGTCTCTGACTGCAGGGCACTTGTTTCCTGTCACTCCCCAGACAGCTAGCTTTTTTTTGTTTTAAAGAGAGAGAGAGAGAGAGAGAGAGAGAGAGAGAGAGAGAGAGAGAGAGAGAATTTTAATATTTATTTTTTAGTTTTTGGCAGACACGACATCTTTGTTTGTACGTGGTGCTGAGGATCGAACCCGTGCCGCATGCATGCCAGGAGAGCGCGCTACCGCTTGAGCCACATCCCCGGCCCCCAGACAGCTAGTTTTTGAGGGCTGACTGTATGGCAGTAGGCCTCTGCCCTCGTGGAGCTTAGGATCTGTGCGGGGACCTCTTGGCACAGTGCCAGCTATGCAACTTTCTTCCCAGGCCCGCCCTGTTACCCTCTGCCTTTGCTCCAGCACCTTYCCTGTGCAGGATGCCTGCTTTCCTCACCCAGAAACCACTGTGCACTAAGTCAGGCTCCGTTTCCCTTCTTCCAGGCACTTTCCAAGTGTGTTAGTCAGGTTTCCATGGCTATGACAAAATACCTGAGAAAAACAACTTAGAGGAGGAAAGATTTATGTTGCTCATGGTTTCAGTCCAAGACTGGCTGGCTCCATTGCCTTGGCCTGGGGTGAAGCAGAGCATCATGGTAGAAGGGTGTGGTGGAGCGGAGCTGTCACCTCCTAGTGGCTGGGAAGCAGAGAGAAGGACCAAGAAGGGGGCTGGAGACAGGATGCACTCTTCCAGGGCACACCCCCATGATCTTCCAGCCAGACCCCAGTTCCTACAGTCTCTGCCGCCTCCCAACAATGCCGTCCCTTTATTAATGCATCAGTGGGKCGACCTGTTATGATCCAGTCACTTCCCGGAGGTTGGGTGGAGGGTCCTCACGGGGCCTGGGAATGGAAGACGCTTAGGCCCCCGAGGTAACTGGGGAAAGGAAGTCCTAGTGGAGGTGACAACTCAAATACAGGCCTGAGGGGTAGGAAGAACCAGGTGTCAGGGCACCGCCACCCCCGACATGGAGGACCACAGAAGTGAGGCTGTGTGGGCTTCCTGGAGGAGGTGGCCCTCTTTGGAGAGAGCCAAAGCATTTACACGCCTCTTGCTCTGTCCAGGACCCCTCCAGACAGCAGGCTGTCCTGGGCACGGCCTCCTTGGCCTTGGCTGTGTTCGTGGCTCTGTATGTGCTGGTGTACATCGAGTGCCTCGTCCGGAGGTGGCTCAGGGCCCTGGCGCTGCTGGCCTGGGCCTGCCTGGTGACGCTGGGCTACGTGCTGGTTCTGGATTCCTGGAGGAGGGCAGCCTGTGCGTGGGAGCAGGTAACAGGGCGGGGACCGTGTCTCTGGGGGTTGGATGCTCCCTGCCACCTGTGCGCCCCACAGCCCTCACCGGGCAGCGGGTCCCTTCTGGAGAACACGCCTGCGTGGACACCTTGGCCATGGCCTGTCTCACGGGCTGTGACTCGGGGACCTGGGTGGGCCCAGCCCCCTGCAGAGGGAGGGGGCGGAGGTTGAGGCGTGTCACCTGCTGTCYGGCTCTGGCATTTCAGGTGGCCCCTGTGTGGGCAGAGATAACGCCCTCCAGCTCAAGACGCAGGGGGCACCCTGGCTCTCATGCCAGAAAGGGTCAGGCCTGGGCCCAGCAGGACGGCCAGACCTGACCATCTCCACTCAGATGGCCGCAGCAGCTCCCGGCCGCTCACCCACCCGTGTGCCACCCCAGCTCAAAGAGCCCTTTCTCCGCTGGCTCGAGTCCCAGACTTGGGCCTGGCCTGGGTGGCCTCTGTTGCCAAGGGGTGGCACACTGTGACCAGGACAGCCAGGGCYCGGGACCCTCCTGTGGCTTCGGGCTGAGGCCCAGGGAGACCATAAAGACTGAAGGCTCCTGGCTGGGGGCTGCCACTCCCATCGGGGTCAGGGCAGGGGCTGGAGGGGGGCCAGCGTCTTCACTGCCCTTCCTGGGGGAGGGTCCTGGGGGAGGGCCCTGGGGGGGAGCCAGGCTGGGGGTCCCCAGGTCATAGGGGTGAGGTCAGCAGGCGGGAGACCAGCAGGGCAGGCCAGACCTTGCTCCGCTGTCTGTGGCTGAGTCACCACAGGAGAGCCGCGGGGCCATCCGAGGACCCAGGGATGAGGCTGCAGCCCCCCCCCCCCCCGCCGTGCCCAGGCCTAGCCTCCCGCTGCCTGTCCCCAGGTGCCCTTCTTCCTGTTCGTGGTCTTCGTGGTGTACACGCTGCTGCCCTTCAGCACACGGGGGGCCGTCGCCGTGGGGGTGCTGTCCACCGTCTCTCACCTGCTGGTGTGTGCTGCTCTGATGGGGTTCTTCGCGACCCCCAGCGCCTGGATGGGGCTGCAGGTGAGGGGCAGGGGGTGGGCGGGGAGGGGAGGGTGGCTTTTGCCTCAGGGCAGCCAAGGCCCCGTGGGGATGAGCCGAGCCCCAAGGCCTTGGGGCCATGCTGACGGATGGACGGCTGCCCAGAACTTCCTTGGACAGGGCTCTGTCCCTCTGGCCTTACTCTGCTGGCCTAGAGTGTCCCTGTGCTCAGGCCGACCTGCTGGGTTTGATGCTGCTTGAGTGACATCTTGCTCCCGAGGTTTCTCTCTCCCCCGGCTCCGGCCTGGTGGGGCTGGGGAATATCCTGGAGGCTCTCTGGGTTTGTGTGTTGAGCGAGAAACCTTTATTACAGTCAGTGGGGACCTGGAGATGTGTTCTCCTCCTTCCTGGCCTGGGTGTCCGCATGGGGTAGAGGCCAGAGCCCCCGGAGGGCCAGCACGGTGCTCTGCTCTGCCTTCTGCCACCTCCTTGGGTGCTGCCCCCTGGCCTGGGCTCCGGGAGCCGGCTGCCTCYACCTCGCGGGCGCCCAGGCACTAGGCAGAGCAGGGCTGGGACCCTGGTCCCGTGATCCCAGCTACTCATTAGGAGAGTCCCGGCCTCCCTGTCCTGGCCTGCCCCGGGAAGAGTGCTCCTCTGACTGCATTGAGGGTCAGGGATATGAAAGGGGGCATCGTCACCTGCCCAGGGCCCGGGGCAGGGCGGGGGTGGACAAGCCAGCCAATACCGAGCCCTGCCCTGGCCCCCCCAGCTGCTGGCCAATGCCACCATCTTCCTGTGTGGGAACTTTGCGGGTGCCTTCCACAAGCACCAGATGCAGGACGCGTCCCGGGACCTCTTCACCTACACCGTCAAGTGCATCCAGATCCGCCGGAAGCTGCGCATTGAAAAGCGCCAGCAAGTGAGGGCCCCTTCCTCTGTAGCTGACCCCTGGCCTCTCCTGGCTGCCCCCAACCCCACAACACCCCAGTTCTCCTGCTTTCTCTGTTGGGCTGCGTACACTTGGGCGGCTGTGCTCCTGGGGTGCACACCAGACCCACTCAGGTGTCACACAGGGAGCTGCTGGGGACGTGGGAGGGCAGGTGCCTGGCTGGGTTGGTGCTGGACGTCAGTCTGCCAAGAATGAGGGAGGGGCCAGGTGGGCCAGGCCTGATGCCACCCTGCCTGTCCCCGCCGCCCCCCACGGTGCCTAGGAGAACCTGCTGCTGTCGGTGCTGCCCGCCCACATCTCCATGGGCATGAAGCTGGCCATCATCGAGCGGCTCAAGGAGCATGGGGACCGCCGCTACATGCCCGACAACAACTTCCACAGCCTCTATGTCAAGCGGCACCAGAACGTCAGGTGGGCAGCGGGCCAGGGCTGCGTTCCGGGTGGGGGCTTCCTGCCAGGACACTCGGGGCCCAGCCCACCCGGGGATCGGAGGGGGGCCTCTCCCTGGTCTCACTCTTCCCTGGTCTCCCCAGGAGTRGGATCAGGTCAGGGTTCTGAACAGGAGGCTGGTGCTGGGGGAGACCAGGTGTCCCCGAGTGAGCAAATGTGGCCTTGGGAGGGAAGCGTCCTTTCAGGTGGCTCTCCACAGGACACAGCCCCAAAGGAGGCGAAGCCCCCCAGGGCTCAGTGAAGCCCCCCAGTCCCAGTGCCTGGGCTTGGCTGATTCTAAGGGGCCACAGAGTCTTCCTGGGAGTTGGGAGTCGGTGCGGCCCTGGCCCAGGGCTCAGCGCTGGGTGCCAGCACCCCACCCCACTGCCATCCGTCTGAGAGATCACAGATTCTGCCCAGGGAGATGAGGGGGGAAGCACAGCTGTCCCGCCTGAGCCTCAGTTTGCTGACCTGTGGGATGGGAACCCCCCGAGGGCTGGGCGAGGACRAGGTCTTGTGAAGAGCTGGGCGGGAGGTGGCTGGGCAGGAGCTGCCTCCAGCCAGGGGGTGGGTCAGGGGGTGTGTTCCTGCTCGGGGCGTGATCCAGACTCAGGGAGGGGGCGTGCCCTTGGCATTGCAGGGGTCCTGCAGCTGTGGCTTCTGCTCCGTTTTGCTGTAATCTGGAGCCTCTGGAGTCTTCGGGGTCTGTGGCTGGGAGGGTCTCCTGTCCCTGGGAGGATGAGGAGTGGCAGAGGCACACGGTGGGCTCTTGGAGACCCCCATGGTGCCCTGTTTGCTGCCTGCCTCGCGGGGCTGCGCCCTCACGCCCTGCCTGTCCCCCAGCATCCTGTACGCGGACATCGTGGGCTTCACRCGGCTGGCCAGCGACTGCTCCCCCAAGGAGCTGGTGGTGGTGCTGAACGAGCTCTTCGGCAAGTTCGACCAGATCGCCAAGGTGAGCCTGCCCGCCGCCCCGCTGCCTTGGCGGGGAGCCGTGCACTCAGAGCTGTGCTGGGCACAGGGGCAGGGGGACCTGCTGACGTCAAGCATCCCGGCACCCTCTGGTAGAGGTGGGGTCCGGTGGTGGCCGCAGCAGCCAGAATCYTGTGGCCCCAGAGTGTGAGGCTGTGGGGGGGCCAGCAGTGTGTCCCTGGGGATGGGTGGGGATCATGAGCTCAGGTGGGACTCCGGGTGGCTGCCTGGAGGAGATGGCTTCATCCTTCTGCACATAGCCACAGCCTCAGCCTCACCTGGGAGGCCGGGAGGACTGCAGAATGCCTGGCCTCCCCTGGGTCTGCTTTGACAAGATCCCCGGGGAGTCGCCTACACGTGAAAGTTTAGAAACCTACAAAAGAGATCTGAGAAAGAAAGGGAGCGGAGTCCCAGGCAGGGGGACAGCTGGAGCGGAAGCCTGGAGGGAGTGACCGCTCTTTGTGCCCATGGAATGAATGTGGCTGTGTGCATGGAGCAGGGGATAGTCACCAGGATGCAAGGACCTAATGGCTGAGTGAGGAGTGTGACTTCTTCCCAGGATGCTAAGGAGCATGACCAGTGCCCAGGGAGAACCTGGCCCAGCCTCAGGTGGTCAGGGCCAGTTTCCTGGAAGTGGTGGCTGCTGAGTAGAGATGGAAGGGGACGTGGAAGGGGGTGGCTGTCTGTCCTGGCTGCACATGGGAACCACCTGGAAAATCAAACCTGCCAGTGCCCACGCCCTTCAGGGCTTTGAAGAGCCTCTTGGGCCACTGTAGAGGGTCAATGTCCAGAACTGGATGAGAAGCAAGTCTGGCCCCACAGGGTTTTGTAGCCAGATGCTCAGTCCTGGGAGGGACTGCCTGCCCAGGAGGGGCTCCCCAGTGCAGGGGGCAAGCTCCCCACTGCAGACGGTAACCAGCCGCTGGCGGCCTGTGCTGGCCAGGGGAGCTCTGCTGGCTGTYGCATTGAAGACTGAGGACTCCGAGGGTCTGTGTGACCTGGGGCCTTCCTGCAGGAGCTGACCAGCTCTGAACCAGCAGGTGGGGCACCTGGGTGGCACCAGACGTGAGGTGGCACCCCAGGGGCCAGGGTCTGGGGCAGGACCTGCCTGTCCCCTTTGACACAGCCTTCCCTTTCCGAGCGGGCCCCAAGCTGCCCTCATTCATATGGAACAGGAGGCCCTGGCAGGTGCAGGCCTCCCAGCCGAGTGGCCAGTGTCTACGCAGACACAGGCAGTGTGGCCCCAGCCGCTTCCCCGGTGAGTGATCAGAGTCCAGAACTGTTCCCTCCTCCCAAGAGCCCGGGCCTTGGGACCCTGCCTCCCCAGCTTCCAGGTGACAGCCACATGCAGGAGCAGCTGGGGGCCTGTGGYGTCTGCTGAATCCTGACAGCGGGGGCTGGGTCCGGGGCAGTGCCTGGCCCTGAGCCTGTGCTCTCCAGACACCTGCCCTCCAGCAAAGCCACTGTCCCTGTGCTTCTCTGGCCACCCAGTCAGGGCCCCGCAGGAAGGGAGGGGCACACACTCCAGGTGGGTCCCTGGAGGAGGCTTGGTAAAGGGCTGCTCTCAGGGCTGGACAGGTGCTGGGAAAGGCTGAGGAACGGCGGGTCCGTACCTGGGCGCTGGGGTCAGTGGCACTGGACAGTCACCCCCAAGTCTGATGGGTGAGGGAGGGAGGCTGGGCCCAGCACAGGGGCCAGACCTGGCCAYGGTGTGTGGCAGCAACAGGCTGGTGCTGGCCAGCCTGCGGGAGGGACTTGGGGTGTCCGTACACCAGCCCCTTGGCTCCTCCCCACCTGGAGCACCCAAGCCAAGGGGCAGAGGGCAAGGTACAGGTGAGGTTGCAAGCGACTGCTCGAGTCTGTCTGAGGCTTCTTCTCAGATCCCCCCACACCCCACCCACAAGGCTGGGGTACCTGTGGCTGCTCTTGCTGAGGGCCTAGGGGGTCTGCTGGCCGAAGCATGACCTCAGGTGGGCCCAAGACAGCTCTCCATGAGCATTTTCCTATGAGGACTCAACCTCACTGTCTTCTGGCCTCCCTCCCAGCCTGCCTTTCCTCTCTGCTCTGTCCCCACTCCCCAGAGGCTGGCAGCAGGGCCATCTCTTGGCTTAACCCACTGACCCTTGACTTGAGGTCCCTGCAACCTCTTCTCCTTCAGGAATCCCTGCACTTTAGCCTTGCTGGCTGCCTGGTTGTGTCTCAGATAACTTCCTGGCCTCAGGGCCTTTGCATGTGCTGGAATGCTCTTCTTCCCGGCCTGGCTCACTCTATCCCTCCAGGTCTTTCTCATGTTCTCTTCTCAAGAGGTCTCTAGCTCCCTGGGCACTTCCTCTCCTTCCCGGGCCTCCCTTTCCCRTAGCTCTTCTCACCCTTGGGCATCCTACAGATGGATCTGTCTGTGTCCAGGGCTCTCAGATGCCACAGCTACAGGCCTCTACTCTGTCTCCTTCACGGCTGTCTCCTATCATCTGACCCAGGGCTAAGTATACAGTAGTGCTCAAACATTACAAGGACAAATGAAACAAAGGCCGCCCCTCCCTAGAGGCCCTGACTAACTTTTGCTTCCACTCCCCGGGCTGGGTTGGGGTTCCTCCTGGTGGGTTCCCCTGTCCCCAATCCTTTGGCTGCTTTGGAGGCAACCCCTGGTGGCTGTGCCCTGCGAGCAGCCCTGGGCAGAAAGGCCTCTGGCTCCCACCAACCAGGCCTCTCCTCGCCCYGCAGGCCAACGAGTGCATGCGGATCAAGATCCTGGGTGACTGCTACTACTGCGTGTCCGGCTTGCCGGTGTCCCTGCCCACCCACGCCCGGAACTGCGTGAAGATGGGGCTGGACATATGTGAGGCCATTAAGTAGGTGCAGGCCGGGCACTGACCTCCCAGGGCAGGACCACCGCTGTTGTACAGATGAGAAACCGAGGCCGGCGGGGGGTGGCTTCCTGGGCAGGCCACAGCAGAGCGTTYAGACCTGGTCCTCTGGCCTCTCTCCCCTTGGCCCCCTGGTGGCTCTGAGCCTCAGATCTCAGAAGCTCAGAGCCTGGTGATAGGAGCAGGAGGCAGCTGGGCCCTGTCTCTCCAAGGACCGAGTCTTAGCAAGGGCATGAAGGTCTAGGGAGACAGTGGAGGACCTTCCAGAGTTAGGGTTAGGACCCCAAGGCTCCATCTGCCTCCTGCCCCTGGAGTTGGGGACCCACCCTCAGGCTGCAGGGAGACTGAGCCCCCGGGGCTCCTCCTGCACCCCGCAGCTCCCCATGAGGCTCTCTGGGAAGCACTGGCTCRGTGGTCAAGCAGTGGAGGCCAGGGGGAGGCCCAGTGGAGGCCAGGTGGGCTGGGTGAACTGCCCAGTGTGGGTGGGGCCAGCTGCCTGTGGCTCCCAGGTGTCAACCCACACCAGTGGACTCTCCTTCCTGAAATCCCACCCAGAATGACTGTTGCTACAAGGACAGTCGCTGGACAGAATCAGCCTGTGGCATCTGTACCTGGGGCGGTACCCCACCGTGTGCCCTTGGGCAGGTCCTGCCCGTCCCATGTGCAGGTCCCCCATGGCTCCCTGTGCTCATGACCGTGGTGGGCTGGGCCCACCCCGAGTCCTGTTGGTGGACACATGGTACCAGCTGTTCCCTGTCCCCCACCCACTCGTCAAAGGGCTGCAGAGGCCCTGCTCCTGTTTGGGGGTGTCACATGAGCTCGATGCTCCTTGTACCAAGTGCTTCCAGGGCTGCTTTTCCCAGATGCTGGGGGAAGGGCAGGCCCTCAGGGCTGACCCCCACGTCCTTTGTCTGTGCTGGGTAGTGGGTGGTGCCTGGGCCCCCTCTGTCCACCCTGGCAGCCTTTTCAGACCCAGAAGGGCCGCCAGGCAGGGGACAGCCGGGGTGGAATGGATGGACACCCAGGCCCATCAGGATGAGCCACGGTGGCCAGAACATTGGAGTTTCCGTTTCCACTCCTACCCTGCCCTCAGGGCTGGYCACATCTGCTTGTGCCCTCCCAGGGACGGGTGACAGCTGTGTCAGGCTGTCCTGTTCCTCCAGCCCTCCCTGTCCTAGGACCTCCAGCCTCTGAGGGCTCAGGATGCACCCTGCAACCCCTGCTAAGGTGGGGTAACCGGGCCGCTCTGCCCCAGGCAGGTACGGGAGGCCACCGGTGTGGACATCAGCATGCGAGTGGGCATACATTCTGGGAACGTGCTGTGCGGGGTCATCGGGCTGCGCAAGTGGCAGTACGATGTGTGGTCCCATGACGTGTCCCTGGCCAACAGGATGGAGGCGGCTGGAGTCCCTGGGTGAGGCTCACTGGGGCAGGGACAGAGGCCAGGGGCTGACTCTGGGCTGAGGGGGGTCAGGGTGGGGTCAGGTGTGGGGTAAGGGGGGAGTCAACGTCCTTGCAGTGGAGCAGCTGGTCCGCGGCCCGGTCCTGCCTGCTRAGCATCTCAGGTGGGGGCCAGCCCTCTCTGGTCATCTGACTTGGGTCTCCCCCAGCCGGGTGCACATCACAGAGGCCACGTTGAATCACCTGGACAAGGCGTATGAGGTGGAGGATGGACAGGGGCAGCAGCGAGACCCTTACCTGAAAGAGATGAACATCCGCACCTACCTTGTCATCGACCCCCGGGTACGAGGGCCCTGGGCCTCAGGATGAGGAGCTGGGGGGGGCTGGGATGGATGGTCCACGCTGGGGAGATGCCCACGGAGGGAGAGTTCTTTTCAAGGCTGTGSCCAGGTGGGAAAGGGACCAGCCTGGGCTGGGGGTGAGCTCCCTGTCCCTGGGCCTCAGTGCTCTTTGCTRTGAAATGGGAATAATGCCAAGGCCTCCCTCCCTAGGGGAGGGGCTCAGCCGAGGGAGGCCTTCCCCGCTGTCACGGCACAGCCTGAACCTTCATACATAGTACTGCCCGTAGCTCATTTTCCTGAGGTTACATGTTCCCCAGTCTCCAAAAGACACCTGTTCAAAAGCGTGCTTTGGCCAAGACTCGGGAAAGCAGGTGGACAGACACCCTGAGGGTCCTGGGCTCTCAGCTGTGCCTGCCCCTGACTGGCTAGTGCCAGCCACCCTTCTCCTGGGGCCCAGCCTGCCCCAGGCTGCTCTCCATGGAGGGGCAGGTGGGGTCAGCAGATGGGCCTCCTTGGCCTGTTAGCTGCCTGCCCCCAACCCAGGTCCTRCTTTTCTGCTGGAGGGAGGATGAATCATCCCTGGGCCTGCTCAGGAATGCCAGCCATGGTGGGCTCTTGCTCTCTGGTCTTGGCTTTGCCTGGGGACAGCCCAGGGGGCACCCAGCATCTACTGCCTGACTTGGCTCYTCCCAGGGTCCCCGCTGGCTTCACCCTGCTGAAGTGCCCTGGCCCCTGCCACATCCCACTCACGTGGAGTTAGTGTCTCAGATCCCTCCTGGTCCTCCTCACTCCTCTTCTGCCCTGGAGGAGGCTCCTGCTCAGTTGTCCTTCCCCGTGTGTCCTCCTCTTGAGTGCCTATGGGCAGGTCCCCTCTCCAGCCCTGCAGCCCTGCACCCAGACAGTGCTCAGCACAGAGCAGGGGCTTACGTGGCTTCAGAATGAACAAAGCAGCGCCCCCACCCCAAGGGCAGCTGCGGGGCCAAAGCTCCAAACCCCCCCCCCCCCGCAGGGCTGCCACATTGAGCAAGTAAAACGGTGGGACACCTGCTCAGACCCGACTTCAGGTGAACAGTGATGGCGTTTAGTGTGTCTTGTGCAGTGCGTCTGCGTGATCGGCCACCCCACCTTCTTCCCATCTTTGTTTAATTCTATCCATTCACATAGTTGAAAATTTAAAAGGCATCCCTGGAGTCCCAATGACTTCAGAGGCTGAGGCAGGAGGATCACAGATTTGAGGCCTGGACAACTAGTAAAACCCTGTCTCGAAATACATGAAAAGGGCCGAGGTGTGGCTCATGGTAGAGYGCTTTCCCAGCAGGCATGAGGCCCTGGGTCAGCTCCCAGCACCTGCACCGTGCTCCATCCCTTGTCCGGATGCAGCTCCCCTGGGTGGACAGAGGCTGTTTGCCATATCTGGCATCTGAGGCCTCGGGGGTGGGGGTGGGTGGTGGTGGTCCAGAGGTGGCCTTGTTGGGCCGCCCACAGGTACCCTCTTTTGGTCTGGAACAATTCCCACACGGTTCTGAACAGACACATTTTGACTTGGGTCTTTAGTATACACTTACTTTTTTAATTCTTACGCTAAGTCAGTGACCTTGAACTTGAACTTGAGTGGCTGGGTGCTGTGTAGGCAGAGTTGCCAACAGTGGAGGGGGTGACAGAAATGTCCCCACCCTAGACCAGTGCGTTCCTGCTTACTGTAGGGCTTGGTGCCTCCTCAGACCCTGGAACCCTCTCTGAGGTCCACCTCGCGCCTGTTCCYTGGGGGCGGGCAGACAGCTGGCCGAAGGGCTTGAGTGTTTCATCCCCAAAGGAGGCTAGACGTTTCCAGGAAACTTGCCACTTGTGGCTTAGCGAGTGTTTGCCGCTCTAGGTGCTCCTTCCTGTGGGTATTGGCAGGGGCCCAGGGGACAGGGCTCCTAGAGGGCGAGACAATGTTAGGAATGTTGGGGTGGGGGGAGGGGACTCTCAGAAGGCCTAAGGTGGCCGGTTGGCTCCAGTGACCTTGGGGGACCTCTCTCTTTCTCGCTTTCCTCTTTTCCAGCCCCACCTGGCCACCTGATTGGAGGAGGTCCCAGTGGGTTGTTTTTATAGGGGGAGGGGCTGGCCCAGTGGCACCAGAGGAGGAGGCAGGACTGGCCCCTCATTCAGGGCCGGCTCAGCACTGGGTCCCTGGCATGGTGCCAGCCCCAGCAGGCACGTGGCAGGTGATGGCCCCATGCTGTGGCYGGGGCCATGCCAGGGGAACTCCCTTGGAAAGCTGCCCTGAGGAGGCTGGCACCTGGGTTGGCCAAGTCTCCGGGTGCTGGCCAGCCCGGCTCTTGCTCCTGCTGCTCCYCTCAGGAAGGAAGGACRYGCACTGAGCACACAGGGTGGCACGGCAGGAGGCCCGCTGCCTGCTGCTCCTCCGGGGTCCTCCCTGGAAGGGGCCCTGGGAGTTCAGGCCCAAGAGTGGCACGTGGCCTTAGGATGAGGACCTTAGCCCTTTCTTTCCCTGCGGAGGGGAGCAGGGGCTGGGCACGGGGTGTGTGAACACCAGCCTTTTCCTGGCCTGGGACAGGAGCGGAGCCGGGGTCCCCACAGCCTGGCCTGACTCTCAGGGCAGCGCAGCGGAGGGACTGTTTTGTCAYTTCCCCTTTTGACAATCAGCCAGTGCTCCAAGCAGGGTCACACTCTGAAAGCTGGAGGGTGGGCTGGGGCAGCAGGTGGGACAGGCCTCCTCTGTGTCTGCCTGCAGAGCCAGCAGCCGCCCCCGCCCAGCCCACACCTGCCCAAGCCCCGGGGGGACGCGGCCTTGAAGATGCGGGCTTCCGTGCGCATGACCCGCTACCTGGAGTCCTGGGGGGCTGCTCGGCCCTTTGCGCACCTCAGCCACCGTGAGAGTGTGAGCAGCAGTGAGACCCCTGTCCCCAATGGGCGGAGACCTAAGGTAGGTCCCTCCTATGCAGAGAGCTGGGTTCAGGGCCCGGATAAGGGCCTGGGGGAGCAGAGGCAGAAGGGGCCCTCTCTCCAAGCCTCACTTCTCCAATAAAATGGCCCTGGTCTCCGCCCTGCCTCCTCCTCTGGGTCTGCTGGGGAAGTGCTGGCGTTTAGAGCCTACGGGGGGGGGGGGGGGGGGGGGGGGCAACGTGCCTGTCCTTCCGGTTGCCCAGTCTGAATTCAGAATGCCTGCAGCTTGGACACCGGCCCCCACCTCCACCCCTGTGACCCCTGTCCCTAGCTGGCAGTGGTCAACCCAGCCCGTGATGGACCGCAGGCCCAGGTGCTGGGGATAACTGTCCCCGCTTCTCCCTTCCCTTTCAGGCCATTCCTCTGCGGCGCCACCGGATCCCTGACAGGTACGCGGGCTGCCCCCACCTTGCCGCCGTCACCTCCTCCAGGCACAGAGGAGACCCTAACCAGGAAGGCAGCCCCTCAAGGCCCAGCCCAGGACCTCTGTGGAGGCCAAGTCAAAGCATTCTAGCACTTCCGGGTCCCTGGCTCTTCTGAAGAGCCATGATGGAGCGCCTGTTGTGCGCCCACCCTGTGGTGGGTCGGTGTGAGGTGCCGGGAGGGAAGGACGGACCCAGTGCTGGCCTGTGAGAAGCAGAGGTGGCCCTGGGGGCTCTCTCCTCTGCTTCTTGCTGGGTGATGCTGGACCTTCACTTGCCCTCTGGGGGCCTTAGTGGGACTCATCTGTCCCTTTGCCCTCCCACACGAAGCTGGGGACCCCTGTTGGACACCTGGTGATCCCGTGGCGACTCAGCTCATCCACACTCCTGCCTCTGGGCCAGTGGGCGTGGCTCCCGGGGATGATGCAGTTGGGGTGTCTGATTCCAGGAGCGCATCCCCCAAGCGGCGGTCAGAAGATGACTCCTATGACGATGAGATGCTCTCAGCCATCGAGGGGCTCAGCTCCACGAGGTGACGCCCAAGACCTGTGCCTCCCCTTCCCCTTCTCCCATTGAATGGGGTCCTCCTGTGGGTAGGCCCACCTCGTGCCCTGTGGCGGGTGGCCTAGCCCCAGCTCTGGGCCCCGTAGCTCCTTCCCTTTCCTGGTATGGCCTCCCCTCAGGGTATGGCCTCCACTCATCCAGGCCTCCATTTCACGCTGTCACCCCCAGGCCCTGCTGCTCCAAGTCTGACGACTTCTACACCTTTGGRTCTATCTTCCTGGAGAAGAGCTTTGAGCGTGAGGTGAGGGCAGCCACCACTCCAGAGGAACAGGGTTGTCCAGGCCTGGGGTGGGAGCCCGAGCCATAGGGCAGCCAACAAGGTCATGGGAGTGTCCACAGCTGGCTGCTGGGGGTGGGTGGGGGCCTGGGGGCTGCCTCTCTCTCCTATCGGCCTCACTCCTTGACCTGGGACCCCCCACTAGGGGTTTGCCTCGGGGTCTGGAAAACTTGCTCCATCCGAGGCCAGAACTTAGCTGCCGTGGGCCAGGGAGGCCTCAGGGATGGCACGGGCCTCCCCATGAGAGAAACCACCCTGGATTCAGCCTGGGGGGACCTGCAGGGTCTGCGTTTTGGCCAGTGGTGACTGTGCTTGTGGAGTGCTCTGGGTTCTGGCAGGTCCTGGGCACACATGTCATTACGTAATTTAACTCTTGCCCACATGGGGGCCGCTCCCCATGTCATAGACAGTCTCAGAGGTTCCAGAGCTTGTCCTTAGCCTTGGGTGTGGCTGTAGGAGGGGTTCCCACTCTCGGGGACCTGGATTGAAAGGGAGGGGCCTACTCTTCCCTGGGGCTCCCCAGGGAGGTTACCAGGAAAGGGCCCTGAAGGTGGAGGAGGACCTCAGCTGGCTGGGGACCCTGCCCTCTGAGCCTCGCCCTCCTTACCAGCCCCTGGCGGAGCTGTGACCGTGCAGTGGTACCTGTGTAGAGGGCTAGCACTGGGGTCCGCCACCTGCCAGCTCAGGGACCCAGGCTCAGCCTGCTCCTTTGGTGTAGGGTAACTTACTGACCAGGTTTCTGTCYGTGGGGACGTGAGTTCTAAGTCAGAGGCCTGGGTGGGTGGGGGAGGGAGGCAGGGCTCCCCTCTCCACATACAAAGAAACTGAAATGCCAGTGGGCGAAAGTCATCAAATGTCATGTCCCTGGAGCTCAAGGAGGGGTGTGAGGCAGTTCTTAAGGTATCAGCCTGGACTGGGAGGCACTGGGCCCCGCAGGCCGCCGCCCCTCACAGTCCTGTCACTCTCAGTACCGCCTGGCCCCCATCCCTGGGGCACGTCATGACTTCGCCTGCGCCAGCCTCGTCTTCGTCTGCATCTTGCTCGTCCACGTCCTAGTGATGCCCAGGTCAGTCTGAGTCGGGGCAGATGGCCAAGCCGCTGGGGTCCTGCTGGAGGGTGGTGATCTGGGCAGGACCCAGCAGGGCCCCTCCAGGAGCCTCAGGTGGTCCCTCAGGATGGGGCTGGAAGCACCTGCTGTTCAGAACCCACAGACCCTGGAGTCCCCGMAGCTGGGCCCAGGGATGTGGCCCTGCTCTGGCGTTGCTTTCTAGTCCCCTGTCATCTGTGAAACCTGCAGGCATTTTAGGGTTTGGAGTCCTTGAGGGGCGGATTTGGAAAACATAGGTAACGTCACCTCCCTCTCAGAGGTGGGAGATGGGCCTAGAGGGTTCATGACATCCAGCCAGGAGCAGAGTCCTGAGACTCTGGCTGCTAGCTCTGGGCCCTGCTGGTGGGGGACAAGAATGAGGGGACAAGCCCTAGCGGTTTCTAGAAGGGCAGTTAGGCCAAAGGATGGACTGAAATTGAGGTTTGGGATGCATAAAGACAAAATAGGGGATGCTTTTCTATAATTTTTGTGGGTCAGGGTCCCCAGTGTCACTCGTTTCTTGCATACTTGGCCCAAAAGGCACGTGACGTTGACCTGGGTGTCGTGACTCTGCCAGGCCTTGAGTTTTACTAGCGGGGCAGTCGGACACAGGTTTCAGAGCTCCCCTTGCTGGGTGTGCAGTGGCAGTTGGGGAGGAGCAGGTGACTGTGGCTGGAGGACTGGAGCCCTGGGACAGGCCCTGGGCACATGACCCCTGGCACAGGTTTTTTCCTCCCATCTAGGATGGCAGCTCTGGGTGTGTCCTTCGGGCTGGTGGCCTGCCTGCTGGGGCTGGTGCTAGGCCTGTGCTTTGCCTCTGAGTTCCTGGTGAGTGGCCGAGGCCCTGTGCTGTGGTCTGTGATCACTCGGTCCCCGTGGCCCTTCCTTCCCTCCCTGCCTGGGACCCTCCCAGAAGCCCACCCTGGTGAGCTCTGTTGTCTGCCCCCTTGCTGTGTCCAGGGGCTGGGGGGCTGCTTCTGCCTCAAGGATAACCTCCCCCGCCTGCTAGTGACTCTCCATGGCTCCCCTCGGGTGGCCTGTCCCTCCTGTCCCTGCTGCTAGCTCTGGATGACTTGACCCCTTGTGTCCACAGAGGTGCTGCCCAGCCTGGGGGACGCTCCAGGCCATCTCTGAGCGGGTGGAGACCCAGTCCCTGCTGAGGCTGTCCCTGGCTGTGCTGACCATTGGCAGCCTGCTCATCGTCGCCATCGTCAACTTGGTCAGCTTGGGGTGTGGGAGGGAGGCCAGGGCAGGGACCTGGGGGATGCTTCCTGGGTGGAGGAGCCATCTTTGACCCTGGGACCTTTAGACTCTAGAGTCCTCTAGCGAGTTGCCTTAATGGCTGCATCTGTTTAGCTCCTCAGGAGCTCAGTGGAGGGCCCTGTGAGGTCCTGGGCTCAGAGCTCCTCATCTGGTCCAATAAGGACTCGGGACACCCAGGGCACTTTTGTGGCTGGCTACACAAGGACTTGGTGCTTGAGCCACAACAGTGTCTGATGTTCCTTCCTCCTCCTGTCAGAGGACAGCCTGCCCCACTGTCTCTGGGACTTGCAGGCTGCTGCGGGGATCATGGCCAGCTCCCTCCTCTAGAGCCCTGGCCCCTCCGCCCCGTGCCTGACCCTCTAGAGCGTGGTGTGGGGAGTGTGTCTCCCTCAGGGTCCCTGCAGAAGGGAGCTCCTGGGAAGTGCTGACCCTCCTGTCTGCCTCTGATGCACCAATGATTTTTTCCGATGCCCTTCTCTCCCCAGCCCTCTCTGTACTGTGACGGGAGGTTGCTGTGGAGGGCGGGGAAGCCGCTCACAGGAGCTTAGAGCTGTCTGTGGCACAGCTTCAGGCTGCCTGGGGTGCCCGTGGTGCCTGTGGTTGTCTTGGGTCGGCTTCTCTTGGCCCTGGCAGGTCCCAAGTTTCATCCTTTGGATGTCCCCTAATGAGGACCTGTCTCCTCTGTAGCCACTGATGCCTTTCCCAGCTCCAGCGCTGCCTGGTGGCAATGAGACGAGCCTGTGGGCCACAAGCAGCAGTAGAAACAGAACTGTGTGTGAGCTCCTGCCGGTGAGTGTCGTCCTGGCTCCAAGTGGAGCCCAGACCCCAGGCCAGCCCTTTGGGGTGCTCCTGGCAAGGGATGCAGTCCTGGCATTAAGAGCGCTGGTTCTGAGTCCACGTGACCATGGGGTATGGAGGAGTGGGTCCAGTGTCTCCCCAGAGAGGTGGCGGAGACGGCTCAAGCAGGTGGTGCTGGGCTAGGCCTGGGGACAGGGAGGGTCTGGGTCCTGGCTGCTTGATCTCAGCTGTGAGGGCTGGGCAGGGAGGGAGGGGTGAGCGTCAGCTGTGCTGGTGGGTGTATCAGAGGTCGATGGATGAGGTCCACAGGGCCCAGGCAGGTCACTACCACACCAAGGTCTGTGTGGCAGGGCTAAGACAACCTGAGTGAGACCGTGGGACTCAGGTGTGGGGAGCGGCCATGAGTTTTGAGCAGGTCCCCAAAAGGCAGACAGATTCTTGATGGCAGAAGGGAGGGGACAATGTGAGAACTGGGTGCCTTGGTAGGGTTTCAGGGGATTTGTACCCTGGGTGGGGAGAGTTGGGAGACACAGCCGGAGGGGGAGGTTTGGTCCAGGTTGTGGGGGCAGGAATGCCAGGGAGAAGAGTGTGGTCTTTCTTCTGGGGCCAGTGGGGAGCCACAGCGTGATCTTGAGCAGGAGAGTCCCGTGGACAGAGACGCCCTTGGGGCAGATGAGCTCCAGCAGGACTTGACAGGGAAGCTGACCAGGTGTGCACACCCTGCCCCCACCCTGGTCTGGAGTTTTACTTACCAGTTTTTTTCCTTAAAACAAGCTCACTTGCCACAAGTGGCAAAACCACAGAGCAGTGTCCTGCCACAGACTCTCCGATGTGCGGCCGCTTTTTGTTGAGAGGTGGTCAGGATGAGTCACGCTGCGGACACCCGGCTCTGTGAGCCCACGGGTGGAAGGGACCGGGCAGCTGGGGTGTGTGTTGCTATCCTATTTCCCTTTGGTGACTGCTCTGGAGGTGAGCTTCCTGGTGATGGGACACGATGGGGTGACTTCTGCCACCCTGAGTAATGCCTCCCATCTCCCCAGTATTACACCTGCAGCTGCATCCTGGGTTTTATCTCCTGCTCCGTCTTCTTGCGCATGAACCTGGAGCTGAAGGTCGTGCTATTGACAGTGGCGCTGGTGGCCTACCTGGTGCTCTTCAATCTCTCCCTCTGTTGGAAGGGTGACTGCTGTGGCCCCGGTCTGGGCAACCTCACCAAGACCAACAGCACCTTCAGGTAGGGCCAGATGCAGCCTGCTATAAGGCGTGGGGTACCGCTGCCTGTGTCCCCCGTGGCCTGTTGTGGCACACTGGGTTGACTTGGTCAAGCTGGGGCGTGTCTGCATTCATGGTCCCATTTGGGCTGGACATTTTTGAGAGATGGCAGAGTTTCTGTTTTATTGAAGGGACAGTCACGGCACAGGCCACAGGTCTCCTGTACTCAGAACTGAGAATGTGACTCACTGGGGGATTCTCTGGGGGAAGTGCTAGTCCAGCAGAAGCCACCGGGGCCATCTATTCTGGGCCAGCTTAGGGGTGAGGGGAGACTTGAGTCAGGTCGCCCGTCTTTGAGGCATGTCCTGGATTACCTGTTTCAGCAAGAGCAGATGCTTTTGGTCCCTTCTTGGACAGGTGCTGATGGGGAAGCTGGGGAAAGCTGGGGTGGGGGCTCCCTTGCACTAAGAAGCCAGGAGCTTGGAGACACAGGGAGAGATCTATCTGCCCTGGCCCTTCTGGGTCCTTATGCCAATCTGCAGGTTCCTGTCCTGACTGCCCCCTCCCTCTCACAAGAGAACTCTTGGCTGCCTTCATATCCCAGCACAGCTGCCTCTGGTCCTTCAGGGACGAGCTCCAATGTCCCCTGAGGCCCCCACCCCTTCCCCCATTCCCTGTGCGGCTGCAGCTACCTGCTCACCTCTGCCTGCCCCACACTTGGCATGTGCAGGGCCACGCACACTCATACTTGGGGCCGAGGCCGATGCTGACTCCTACCCTCCTGCATCCAACAGTAMCACTGGCTGTTCTCTGAGTGACCTGAAGACCATGATCAACTTCTACCTGGTCCTGTTCTACGCCACCTTCGTCATGCTCTCCAGACAGGTGCACAGGGGCCCTAGCTCGGCCCCTAGCCTCTTGTAACGGTCAGGCAGACAGGGCCTTTGGGGGAGGGGCCTCGAGCATGAAGACAGCAGAATCCTGTCGTACAAGCTCTGGTCCCCAGTCCTGGCCTCCCCAGGTCACAGTGGGATGGGCTGAGCTGGGTTCAGGCTGGGCAGCACTGTGGGCTGGGTAAGGTCAGAGCTGTGCCCACCAGCTCCTTAGGTGGGTGTTGTCCTATGGATGGACACTGTTTTCCATTTGCAGATTGACTATTATTGTCGCCTGGACTGTTTGTGGAAGAAAAAGTTCAAGAAAGAACATGAAGAATTTGAAACTATGGAGAATGTGAACCGCCTTCTCCTGGAGAATGTGCTGCCGGCCCATGTGGCTGCCCACTTCATCGGCGACAAGCTGAATGAGGTGCAGTGGGAGGAAGGGGCTCAGCATGTGGTTAGGAGACAGAAGGTGCAGACACAGAGCCTGGGCACATGTGCAGAGCTGCTGAGTGCTGGTTTGCATTCCTGGGTCTTGGCCTCCACCCCCATGCCCAGGAGCCAGCCGCCTTACTTCCCTGGGTCTTGGTGTGAAAAGTGGGCTGACTGTCCTGGATTGCTGTTAAGTCCAATATATGTTCCAGTGTTAGTGATCTGCATGTTCCATACTGATGAAACATCTGTACTCCCTCCAGCTGTGTGTGCAGAATTTTCTAGATAAGGAAACCGAGGTCCCATGACTTGCTCAGTATAAACCCATCTCGTAATCTAGGGGCCTCAGCCCCAGCTGTACACAAACACCCAGGGTGCTCACAAGGGCATCACATCAGCTTGATTCTCCTGCTCCTTGACCAACCAGTTCAGAATCACCCCGGGTTCTAACAATCCTGGCATACTACCTGCGCGACCAGGGCCAGGAACCATGCTCCGTCTCCCTTTCTGGAAGCCCAGGGGCAGTTTAGTATTGTCTGCATCCCTGTCCCCTTCAGATGCTATGTAGCCATCAGGGCCTGTTTCTTCCCTACCCTGTGCCAGGACTGGTACCATCAGTCCTACGACTGTGTGTGTGTCATGTTTGCATCTGTGCCGGATTTCAAAGTGTTCTACACAGAGTGCGATGTCAACAAAGAAGGGCTGGAGTGTCTGCGCCTGTTAAATGAGATCATCGCTGACTTTGATGAGGTACGCGTTCAGCCTAGTCCTGGGGCTCTGGGCCTTCCTGCCTGCACTAACAGCAAGGTTGAGGCTCAGGCATTCTGAACTCAATTTAAACACGCTCCACGAGTAGCTCTGTTGGCAATGTGTGTCCCTAGCATGCATGAGGCCCTGGGTTCCATCCCAGCACCAAACAACACAACATGAGGCGGCTTCCCTGGGGAGGGGAAACAAAGGAACGTATTTGCCGGGGTGCAATGGCACATGCCTGTAATCCCGATGACCAGGAGGCTGAGGCCTCCAGAAGATCACAAGTTGGAGGCCAGCCTGGGCAACTCAGTGATGCCCTGTCTCAAAATAAAAAGGGCTGAGGATGTAGCTCTGTGGTAGGATGCCACTAGATTCAGAACTCAGTAATGCGAACACATTTGTCTTTCTTGTTTTACTTGGCAAATGCTTTGCCAAGATATTAATTTCTGCAACAGGCAGCTTGCTTAGATTCAGGTTCTTATTGAACAGGCTGATTTCTAGTTGTGCCCAATGCTATTGGCTGTTTCAGAGGACTGTTTGGGTCCAACTCTGCTGGAGACAATTAATCCACCTTCCTAAAGCAGCTGTGTGTTCGATGCTTTAAAGGGTTGAGGAAAGCTGACAGGAATGAAAGGGGTGAGGGAGGCAAAGGGACGCCATGTATAAGACTACACTTAGTTCAGAGCCTCAGAGACATGACCACTTAAGTGGAGAGGGAGGAGGGTCACATGTTCTTTCTTAGCACCTGGGTGCCTGAGGCTGCAGTGTGCCTCCTCTTTGTCTGCAGCTGCTGTTAAAGCCCAAGTTCAGTGGCGTGGAGAAGATCAAGACCATTGGCAGCACCTACATGGCAGCTGCGGGGCTCAGCGTCCCCTCAGGGCATGAAAACCAGGTACTCAAGCCCCAGGAGGGAATGCCATCTTACTACTTAAAGGAGATGCCTTCCTAACACTCCTGTCCTGTGAGGGATGGGCAAAGGAACTTCCATGGCTCAGCATGGAGATCTTGACTGTGGGACAACCCTCTGCCCATAGTGGCCACTGATGGAATTCACACTGATGCTGGGTACACCAATGCCCACAAGCCCGATGGTCGAGGGATCTGTGGAAGGAATGGTGGGGAAGGACTTTGCATGCTCTGTGCCCTGCAGGACCTGGATCGACAGCATACCCACATAGGTGTCATGGTAGAATTCAGCACTGCCCTGATGAGCAAGCTGGATGGCATCAACAGGCACTCCTTCAATTCCTTCCGCCTCCGAGTTGGTGAGCGTCCGGGTGGGCTGGCAGGCTGGCCGGCCAGGATTGGGAAGATGGTGCAGCTCCTGCTTAAGCAAGCCCTCTCAGTCTGCATGGCCAAGCTGCACTGGCCATCACATTATTAAGTTCCTGAAATCCCTCTGATCTGATGAGCCTGGCAGCTGCATTATTATCCTGACCTTTGCATATTGCATGTATAGTTACCTCTGGAAGTTTTCACAGCTGTAAAGAGGTGGCCTTAAAATACACTAAGAACAAAGCAAAGTTATTAAAGCTAACTGGTGACTGCTAGCTCAGGATTGGCCTATTTACTTGTTGTTAAAAGGGAGACTGGCAGGTACTAGAAAAGTGTTAGCAACAAACCCAGACTTCCTGTCTTGGAGAATCTGAACAAGAACAGGCCAGGGCTTGCCTTTCTTACATTCCAAGGGCCATATCACATTGCAGACTGTTTTGTTAACCCTTTCTGTGGTTGGGGGACAACTCTGTGGCTTCCCCTAAGGGCAGAGGCCTGAGGCTTTGCCTCTGTGATCAGCCAACTGTAAACATTACTGGCAGGCATAAACCATGGGCCTGTGATTGCTGGAGTAATTGGGGCACGAAAACCTCAATATGACATCTGGGGAAACACAGTCAACGTTGCCAGCCGCATGGAGAGCACTGGAGAGCTTGGGAAAATCCAGGTAAGAACCCACTGGGGAGCAGGTGACAGAGGGGGAAGACCCTCCCCAGAGCTGAAGTGTCCTGAGCCTAAAGCCTAAGTCTACCACCACTTCACTGTGACTCTTAGCCATCACCTTCTTGAGAGAAAGCAGACATGCATGCTGCTTGGTGATCAACTTCTATTTGTCCCCATCACCATCTCCCTATTTCTGAGGACCGGGCTTTCTTTTCCTTTTCAGGTTACTGAAGAGACATGCACCATCCTCCAGGGACTAGGTTACTCTTGTGAGTGCCGGGGACTGATCAATGTCAAAGGCAAAGGCGAGCTGCGGACTTACTTTGTGTGTACAGCAGACACTGCCAAGTTCCAAGGGCTGGGGCTGAACTGAGGGCTTCTGGTGTAGCCAGAACACACTGGGAAGTCAGTTTCCTGCCCTGAGCCAGCCAAGGAGAGACTTGGCCCTATGCCAGTGGCAAAGGCATTCAAACAGGTTGTAGCCGTTGCCACCTCCTGGCCAATGGCTTTGTGTGGCTTCTCTGGGCTTGCACTAAAGGGTCACTTAGACATACACCAGATCCTGCCTGAGTGACTGCTGGGTTGTGACCTGGGGCAGCAGGTGGGGCCTCTGTGCAGTCAGTCTGTAACAGTGTCTAGGTAGATGGAAGAGGATCACTGGGAGGTTGTGCTTGTGACTTTGAGAACTTTGTTCCCAGGGTGGTATGGAGGTGCTCAGAGGATGACTAAGGCAGATATCCACTTTGGTGACCTGTAAGCATGTGCAAGGAAACTCACTTTTTCTAGGTACTTAGCCAAGCCGCCTGGCATGGGCTGGAGCCGCCCTTCTCCCTAGCAGGGCTGGCTCTGGGCTTGTTTTTCACATAAGCATTCTGGTAAATGGAGTTGACATGTGTGAAATCGTTATGCTGACACGAAACAAACGGTAGAGAAAACCTGTAAATGACACTTGCTATTTCTTGTCATCTTTGGCATGCGTTTGCTTTGAATGGATACATTATTGGGGTTTCATCCTTACTAACGACTTCTTAGACCCTAGACAAAACTCTCCTCCTTCCAGTGAATTTTTTAGTCAATGACTCATGTATGCAAGACTACTGTCCAGTGTCAGTGTGTGGATAAGCTTGGCTGTAGGGACAGAGTTCCAAGGAAAGCAGATCACAGAAAGTAGCAGTGGCACAGGTTTGTCTCTGAACCAGGCAACCTTGATGCAAGCCTTCTGATCAGGTTCAGTAAGCTGAAAGCCTAGAATGGGGGTACAGTCATGTGCTCCTCCCTGACCACTCATGCATTTTTACCTCTGCCCTGCAGTCTTCACCGTATCTTGCTTTTCTTAGTATAGTGAGAACCTGGACAACCTGCAGCTCGTGTCTCCCTTTCTTTAGTCTGCATAGCTAACTATGAAGAGCTTTAAAACCAGAGGATCTACTTTTCATGAGATGTGTCGAGGTTCCTATTCCTGGAAGCCAGCCCCTCATAAATGCTGAGATGTTCTTGCTCTAAACCAAATGAGTCTTGACGCCAGCTTTGTGAAATGGCGTCTTATGGTGCTTCAACTCCACAGGGAGCCAAAGAAGTCTACCTGTTTCAAGGTGAGAAATAACCAAACTGCCTGCTCCTGCTCGGAAATGACTTCACTGCTACCTTACAGCCAGAGCCTCCCTAGGATCCAACACCACTGAGTTTCACTACATTGCAGGAGATCCGTAACTAAAAGTCATCCACAACCCCCTGCTCCCGCCCCCGAAATTATTCATAAAATCTTACTGGAGCCTTCAAAAGATTATACAGGGTTGTAGCAGTGACTACCAGCTAGGTTTACCCGTGACTGGAGATCCTGGATGCTGCTTGCCACCCTTATTGCAGAGCAGCGTATAGCCAAGTGGTGTTGGAGGGGATCAAAATGTAACCTGTCTGCTGTGTTGTCTTGTGGGGCTTTATCTGCCTGAGGAAGGCGGGGGGCTGATCTAATTTGTAAAAGGTGCTGGGGTGGGCTTGTGGCAGTCTGATGTATTGCATACAATCGGAATCAGTATGCATTTGTTATAAGAATTTGCTTTCTGAAGGAATTTTCTGACAAAAATGATGGTAAGGGAAAAAAGCCTTCTTTGACCCTGACATTTCAAGTAAGGGCTGATTTCAGGTGAATACTATACTGAAATCTGTGTTCTCAAAACCTAGCAGTGTCTAGAGCTCCCCTGAAGAATCCAGAAGGTTTTTATTGCTGATGAAAGGTAGACATGTCAGTACATTGGCCTCAAATTTCTACTTTCAATATTCAAGTTACTTTTTTCCTTCAGTAACAGAATCCCCAGACAGGAGTTTTCAATTAAAGTGTTGTGCTCAGATAAGAATATTTTAATGTTCAGGTTGTGACCACAAAAATCACTTGCAGTTTTTTTTTTTTTAAATCTGATAGGAATAAATATCTTTTCTATGGGTTGAGCACTTGCTTAAAAATTTCTACTAAGGCAGCGTCACTGCTACCGAAAATTAACACTGATGTCTTCTGATTTACTTACCAAGGAAATTTCCCAACAAAACAGATGATCATTACCCACTGTATACTTTGTGTATATAATAGGTCTTTGTATAGAAATTTGCTCACAGTGCATGCAAATAACAAGGATTTGTTCTGTATATTGAATATTTGTAGATCTATAATATTTGCTTTAAATCCTTTATTTTTGTAAACTGCCAGTGATAGGCTGCTTTTCATACATTAAATTAGCAATGTGGAAAACCTGAACGTCTCAAGGTGTTCTGATTCAAAATATCCTTTTGATCTTTAGGAACTTACTTAAGCCAAGTAGATCTAAGTGAAGGATGGTCCAAAATTATATTTTAGAAATAAAACACCTGATTTAAAAAGAAAAAAAAGTTCAAATAGGTTTTTTTAACTTTAACACAAACTAGGTCATGTTTTAACTTCCTCAAGAGAATCAATTTTCCTTTACAAAATGGATTTTCTGAATTTTTACAGAACTCTGTATTGAACTTTATGCTATGTTTTTTTTTTTTTTTTTTAATTTCATTTTTACAGTGCTGGGGATCAAACCAAGGGCCTTGAGCATGCCAGGCAAATGCTCTCCCATTGAACTCCACCCCAGCCCTAATTGCCTTTTAGTTTAGACAGGTTACATTCAGAAAAATCACCATTCATTTCAGCCTAGTGGCTGGTGATAGAAGGGTGTGTTTCATGGTCTCTGCTTGGTATGTGACCTTTGTATTTTTGATAAAAATGATTATTAGTTTAGGGGCACTGCTGAGGCACAGGTGATCTTTGAGAAACAGGAAATAAACTTCCTTTTAAGTTTGGTAATTCCCTGATCTATTCTGGGATGATTTAGTATCTTATTTGGTTTATCCTTTAGCAGTTCCCAATTACTGAAAAATGAAAAACAAGAAAATCAGTGTTATAAATCTCATCTACTTACTAAGGGGTGTGGGGCACCTAATCACCACACAAGTACATCATTCCCATCAGGTATGAAGGGAGCACAGCACATCCTAAAATTATTTTAAGGATTTGTTTTCATGGTATAATGATGGAAAATCTTCACTGGATGGGGCTATTGAAAAAAGTATTAGCACTATTCTGAAAGAATGCTGCCTAGGTATGCAATAGCCCAAAGCCATATTGCTTCTTCTGAAGGCCACTTTAAGCAAGATGGAATCTGATAGGTTAGGAACTATTGGTCTTGATTTCTTTAGTGGGGAATTAATTATGGAAAATGTGAAATATGAGGGATTTTGATTATTTTGAGGACTTTCTTTTTAAGGGATGACCATGAAAAAGGCTTTCCAAGATTTCCTATCACATCCTCAGATACACTCTGGGAAAAGGCCAAGAGGTAACTTAGCTGATATGCACAGTATTCTTCTCAGGTTCAGCTTTATTACCTAATAGAAGTTCAATCTCTGGAACATTAAAATTAACTGTTCCAAAGTTTAATTAAAAACACAATTTACAAATAGTTAATATCTTCTCAAATGCATTTTCAAGTTCAGAATGAAAAAAAATATATACATAATATATAATCAAATACCAGTGGCTTCAGGTCCACACTCAGCAACATCAGTCTTCTTAGGTTCTTCAAAATCTGAAAGACAATACCACATCACTAAGTTTTTTTCCTTTTAATTAAAAATGGGAAGTGAAGACGAAGCTAGCATTGAGTAGACCTTTGATAGAGAATAGGTGGCATTATTAGGTCATCATTGTAAAGTAAAAGTAGATTTATACCTTAAAATCAGACAGACAAGGTCCTAGTTTAACTTAGTATAGGGCACTTGCCTAGCATGTGTGAGGCCCTGGGTTCTATCTTTAATGACAAAAACCCTCGACATATTCAAAAAATCCCAGAGAAACCTTTCCAATGCTATCTCTAGGGAATGGACTGAGATGTTCCTTAAACTTGCACCTCCCACACTCACAGGGAAACAGGGTACGTACCTTCTGTTAAATCTACGAAGTTGTTCTCTATGATGGGGGAAGGAATGGAAATCCCCATTGCTTTTCGAACTCCATACATGCTTACAATGTCACCTGGAGTTACTTGCTGGGCAAGTTCTTTAAGATTATTGGTCACCTGTTCAGCTAGAAATAAAAATAAAAACAGTTTCAGTCATTGAAAAGCAGTTTATTCAGATAATTAAAAAAATAATAAAAAAATACAACAGAACATGAATGCATTAATGCAAAAAACACACTTTCCATGGTATTCATTCCAGAGTCACTTTATAGTGATGTCATTACTTGGAAGTATTTTCCTTTAAGCAACCCCCAACTCTCCTCTTACTGGAGGTGCTACATACCGAGGTGCATTTCTCTGTATGATGGACCCAAAAGACAGATCATATTGGGAGGGGGTCTGGTGCTCAGCCGCTCATTCTGAGCTTCCTGAAGCTCCCTGAGCAATCTCGTGGTATCATCGAGTTTCCTCTGGAATACTTCAGCCTCTGTAAGGTAAGAAGAACACAACACACTCAGGAAAACGTAGGCATACTTGTGTTTGATCTTATGTGATAAAATGAGTCCAGTGCTTCAAGGCTTAGCTATTTATTGGTTAGACTTCTCCCCTCAAAGAAGTAATGTCCCTCCAATGAAACCAGTACCACAGCCATGTTTTACTCTTTGTTTAACTTGGCTGTGCAAGATCTTGCTGTGGCGAGTGGCTTGGTTAATTTGTACCAACGTGGCATTGGTCTTGACTGACTGTGATGCACAGTATTTCCAACAACCTATGGTCTGCGACCCTCACCTTCAGAGTCAAAGACTTCAATTGGAGCGCCAAAGTTTGTTACTGCTTTGAGTGCTGTGAGCCTGTCATGAGTGCCAGAGTCCAATCGCCCTGCTGGCTCTACTTCTGTAATCTGCTTCAAAAGAAAAAAGGAAGTTATTTGAACTTGCTAAGCTATGAGAGTGCTAAGTAAAAATTAGTAAGATGGCTATGTTTATAGGCAGTTATTTTACTTCGTTATGTYGGAGTTATCATTTTGATGACTACTAAAAATGTCTCCCCAGCATACCATTTTAAAATGCTATTCCCAAATTTTGGCAAAATAAGAGTCCATAAATCCACGTTTTTCTGTAATGTAAGGAGGTCTCATACGGTTTGCAGCATTTGCTTCATATGGCAACCATTCCACAGATAAAGTAATGAGAAATTACCTAAATTATGAAGTACTTTTATCTGATGTCTCTGAGACTCAAAGTCCAATGTTTCGGCCCACCCAGTCCATACACTTGCATCTCTATAGTACATCTTTAATATAAGATGCTTCCTGGGTCTTGTCCAGGACCCAAAACTAGGCTATTGGGATTGCATGGAAAAAACAAAATCTTATGCAGGGTGGATTTTATTTTTGGATCCTAAGACTCAGAGTTTCCATAACCTCAACACTATTTTTGAGGAGTACATCAATCCAGATAATAAGTAACCAAAAGCTGGTGATTCCATTTATGTTTGGTATTGTAGTCCAAATGCAATTTAAAAACCTGACTTCTCTACCTTCATATATACGGGCAGAAAGTGTACAGTGGAGAAAAACTACAACCTGGCACTGGTATTATGGTTTGCCATTTCAGCTGGATAGTCTTTTTTATTTCTTAACCAACTTCCTTTCCCAGTCTTCAAAGATTTTTCACTCTTCCCTAAGCACACGATCTTTCTTGGCTCCTTCCCTGAAAACAACATGGCTGTGTAAATAACAGCTTTATCTCTATTATTCTCTCAGAGAACTCAAGTATGTACAATTTTTTTTTTTTTTTTTGGTGGTGCTGGGGATTGAACCCAGGGCCTTGTGCATGTGAGGCAAGCACTCTACCAACTGAGCTATATCCCCAGCCCCTGCACAATCTTAAATCTCCATTTAACCCAATTTTCTTCCACTTACTTAATTCACCAAAGTCTACCTTTGGCCTCTACCATTGTACTGAGATTGCTCTGATCAAGATTACAAATACACTTGTGGGCCTCCTGTTCTTGGGTTTCCATGGCATTTGATATTGCAAACTCTCTCCCTGCTTAGCATTCTTCCATGGTTTTCCTTCCTGACTCAACTACTGGTCTTCTCTAAGGTTCTGTCCTTCACCTTTTTCCACGTTCTCCCTGTAGTCTCTAATGACTGAAATAAATTCCACCTTTACACTAACAACTTCCAGATCCAAACAACAGCCCAGATTTTCAAGTGCCAGGCCCATACCTCTGGCAATGTCCTCATCACACTTGTCACATCTGAAACCAAATATGACTTCTTTCCCTGTCAAAGTTGTGCTCCTTTTCCTGCACGTCCTATGAATACTATCACCAATATCAGGAACTAGGTAATTTTAATTTTTATCCCACTGCATTTCCCAAATCTTATTCTTTATTTTTTAAAAATATTTTTTAGTTGTCAATGGACCTTTATTTATGTGTATATGGTGCTCAGAATCGAACCCAGTGCCTCCTCACACATGCTAGGCAAGTGCTCTACCACTGCCACAACCCCCCCCCCATCCTTATTCTGTTCCTTTATATTGGTATGCTAGTTTAAGTCACTATATGGCATTTCTAGGATAAGATTTTAGCTTCTCAGCACTATAGAGAAGACTTCATCATGGGGTCCTCACCTACACAGGCTTACCACCTGTCTCCCCAGGGACTGCTGGTCATATTTTCTGAGCTTGCTGTGCACATGCCCTCCTCTCTCAGATTCATCTGTCACATTCACTGTCAGATACCTGCTCCAGATATCTGACCCCACTGCTGGGAGACGCCTTTGCATCCTGCTAGCCCTGTTCAGAGCTACCTGACCAGTGAGCTCCTCCACCCTGGGTGTCCACACCCCATGCACTCACTCCATGTAAACTGGTTTTGATTCCATTGTTTACATGCCTGAATACCTTACAAGTACTGCTAAGCTCCACAGGCCAAGATAAGCTTTTCTACCATAGGTAATACTGAATATTTTTACTTTAAAATATATCACTTAGGTCTTTAAGCTTATTCTTCATTTAAACATTTCTTGAAAAGAATAAAATATAATCACCTCCATTTCTTTTGCTGTGTCAAGTGTCCTAGCCTGGCCTTCATCTTCAGGCAATGACTGTAAGAATAAAGAAAAACAACATTTTAAGAAAAAAAGTATGGATTGACAAATAGAGAAATGAGAAAACAAAGTTTTGTGGCAAGAGAAAAGAAATTAGAGTGTCTATTATTAGAATATAACTTTTTAAATAAAAATGAATTAAATGTAATTAGCATTTTGAGACTACTCTGTGAGTTGTTGTACTTTTATTGGTGATGCTGAGCTCCATGCCTGATCAAAAACCTATCCATATATTTAAGAAGGTGCTTGGTAAATAGCTTATAACTAAATAAATGGAATCTGTTTTTAACAATAGGTTAAGTCTCTTACAAGAAAGGAACTCTAGGGACTACTGGGTAGCAATCAAGTAATATTCTCAGACAGTAGAGAATTATTGTAAAATATGCAAATGTTAACAGAGAATATAGATAATTCCTATAATCCTACTTGTTAAGAGATT